AGATTTATTTATTTTTAAAAATAATAATAATAATAATAATAATAATAATAATAATAATAATCATAATAATAATAATAATAGTAGTAATAAACGAAAAGAAATATTGTATATGTGTATATTATTAATATTTTTAGGCGTTATATTCACATGTTACAACGAATAATTCTCAACATTGGGCCGAAAGTTTTATAACTGAATTGGAAAAGGTGCATAGTGATATGCAAAGAAGATATTCAATTCACATTCCTCATTTAGTTCCTAGATCATTTTCAAATGAATTTGCTACAGCAAAAAAAAGATTGTAAGTTAATTCATTATTATTATTACTATTATTATTATTATTATTATTATTACTTGATTTTTTTGGAATAAACATTTCGTCAAATGGCAAACATATAGGTTTTTATTGGATTATGATGGTACAATTGCAGCATACGAAAGATCACCGCCACAAGTACCGCCCTCAACACCATCCGCTAAACTCATTGAAGTTTTAACAAAACTTACAAGTAATCCGCGTAATTATGTTTATATAATGAGCGGAAGGACAGTAAAGAGATTAGAGGAAGATTTAGGTTCAATACCTAATTTGGGTCTGAGGTATTAATAAAATCATTATGAAGTGTAGTTATTTTTATTATGTTTATTAAATTATAATTCAAATTTCTTTTAATAGTGCAGAGAATGGAGCTTTTTTGAAATTAATTGGTGATAGAAGTAAATGGGAAGAATTGTTCTCTGATATAGATATGAGTTGGAAAGAACAAGTTAATGAGGTGAGAAAAAAACAAGAGCTTCATTATATATTTTTGAATTTTTTGAAACTAATTAATTTATCATTAATTAATCAAATTTAATAATAATGATGATGTTATTATTGCCATTTAAGATTTTTGAGTATTATCATGAAAGAACTCCTGGTACACTTATCGAACAAAAGGAAGTTTCATTGGTTTGGGTAATTAATAAATAACCTTTCATTTATTATGATCAATTTTAACACAATTACTCATTTTCACTTACATATATATGTTTATTATTATTGGATTCAATAAAAATAGCATTATAGAAATGTTGATAATTTATCATATGGGTAAAAAAACAATCAAATATATATAAAATTTAAAAAATAAGAGATTAATGAAAAAAATATTAATCAATTTTATTTTAAAAAAAAAGTGCATGGCAAGCAGCTGAATGTCAAAATCATATTCAAGTTTCTTTAGGCTTAATATATATGATTCATGCTATCGCAGGAAATAAAACTATAGAGGTTTAATTAATTCTTATTTTATATTTAAACACATACATATTACTTATTACAAATATATATTTTTGGGATTGTATAATAGGTTATGCCAAAAGATGTTAATAAGGGTGTTGCCATAGCGCGTATTCTTGAAAATTTAACGCCAGATTTCATTTTGTGCATAGGAGATGACAGAACAGATGAAGATATGTTTGATTATTTAAATAGATTAACAAACATTAAAACAGTGATAACATGTACAGTAGGATCTAAAAGCACCGAAGCAAACTTCTTTATTGGTGGCGTGTCAAGGTAACGAATTATATGATGAATGTAACAATCAATATTTAATGATAATCATATGATGATGAAATTCATTCAATTATCAATTTTAATAGTGTATTGAGTTGTTTAGAAATGTTGACTACGGAAGAATTTAATATTATTTAGTGCGAGAAGAAGATTTGTTTTATTATTTAATATCACTTTTACTTTTAATTTATTTGCTGGATTGATTTCAATAAATAACGCAATTATCATTTTGAAATTTATCGCTTTTTTTGTAAAGTTATCAGATTAAACATTATTTACTATAATAATATAATAATAACAATAATGTACACCGACCGGATATTTAATATTAATTTGGATATCCGAATACTTATTATTATCCGTAAATTGTGGTACTCGTACACTAATACCAACTGTTCATATTATTTCCGTATATAATAATAATCTCCGCATGTAGTTCAGGATGACTAATACTAAAGAATTAAAAATAGATAATTCTCACGGATTTTATACATATTTGAACCATAGTAATTTAAAAAGAATTATTATATTATGAATGTCCATAATTTACATAGATAATCTCTTTTAAATTTCATTACTGAGTTACATGAATTGAGATTTTCTTATAAAAAGCCAATTATTTAAATTTACCCCGATCAATAATTACATTCATAAATAAAACTCTATTCTCACAAATAACCCCCTCCCCATATTCACTAATAAAACTCTATCTTCATAAAGAAATCATGAATTTGGTTTTTGCATTCATTTTATTGGCAACGCTTTACATGGTCAATGCTATTCCACCACAACAACTTCTTAAAAAAACTTCTACTACCTTTGTATCATGTCCTGTATTTGAAGGAGCACCACCACCTACACTCACTGTAACACTTTCACCTGATCCTATCGTTGCTGGAACAGCTGATGTTTTTACTGTTTCTGGAATACTGAATTATGATATCACCGCAAGTGACGAACTTGTTATTTCATTTTCTGATCCACTAGCTAATACTGTCATAAATACCACTGCTGTAGCGCTTTGTGATGGAAGTAATTGTCCAATTAAAGCTGGAATCCCATTTACTCAAACAGTGCAAGTTTCAGTGCCAGCGAAGTTACCTAGTCCATATGCTGCTATAGTTGCTGTTGTTGACCCAGTTGCTAACGGTATGATAGGCTGTGCAGTTGCTTTTGTTTGGTTGTGATGCTTACATCTAAGGATGTAGCCTTTCTCCCAGAACTCGTTTTTTAAATAATAAAAATCAAATAGAATAATTTAATTTTTTATTAACGTTAATTATTATTCAGCCTATCCATAAATTTTGTTGTTAATTATTATTGTCATTATTTATATTTTTATGTGGCAAATTCATAGTATTAGTAATTCTATATATTTCATGAATTAATTTATGGGTTTATCCACGATTTTGTAAATAAAAAAAATTTTTGTTTCTTGAATCGAAAAAATTTTTTTTTTGTTTAATTGTAAAGTGTTGAAAAAAGAAAGGGAATCAAAAAAAATTTTTTGTTTTTATCTCCTTGAAAAAATTTACATGTATTAATAATAATAATTCAAAGAAAAGAAATTTGATTTGTTAAAGAAGTATTTGCGTCGTGAATTGCGTCTTGCGTCACGAATTGCGTCTTATTCAATTAATTGCATCTGGCGCAATTCAATAATTTTGACCACATGCATAGAAATTGCACAGGCTCATATATTGTTAACAATATTCCTTATATGAGAGATGTGGGCATGAATTTACCACTGCAGAAAATATCTATAATCAAATCTTATTAGAAGTAACTGGAACTCAAAAAAGAAAAATTATTAATTTTATATACAAAATAAACTTGTAGATTATCTAAAAATAAAAATATTCTATTATGTTTTACAATTCCCTATTACTATTGATGTCCTGCGACTAATGGTATTTAAAATTTTTTATTCACTACTATAATGCTATTACTATTAATAATCTCGGTGATTGCATATTGTCGAAAAGGTGAAAAAATAAGGTCATATTGGGATAAGAAGCAATTGATTATTGTAAAAAAGAAGTGGACATTGGGGCTCAAAAAAGAAAATACGGAATTTGGGAGAATCAAGCATTGAAAACTTCATTTATAAGACATAATTTTGATCATTTTCATTATAAAGATTGTGATTAATAATACGATAATGAATCAGTTGTTTTTTCTTTTATATTTTTATGGTTGGATAAATTATTGAAGTTATTGGGTGAAACTATACAATTTCTTCCTGTCAAAGGTGGATATAGATTGTTAATAATATTACAATGAAATGTATTTTCGAACGAAAAATAAAATTATTATATTAACAATTTGACAATTCTTCTTGTTAATACCCAAGTAAACAAGCAAAGAAAATCAAGTCTTTACGTTTATAAAAAGTAAATAAATCTATTCTTGAATTTCTATTTTTATTCTTTCCACGCCTACGCAGAATACCCCTCGTTATCCTTTGTGACAAAAAGTCATCTATTAAAGTTGTATTCGTCGTTAAATGTTGGTCTTGGTTAGCAGTTGTTTGTGCTGATAGAGATTCCCACCCAAAAATTGATGAACACCCTCTCTTCTTGTGCAAAGGCAGCTGTTCATATGCTAAGCTATCCAGCTAGATTAATTTAAAAAGTGACTTTTGTAAATTTTTTACATGGGAACCAGATCTTTTCTTTTCTATTTTTAATTAATTATAGATAATAGCAAATTAGCATATTATTAAGGAATTCAGTGATTATTTCACCTAACAATTTTAATCGATAATCATGTTATAATTTATTGACAAAGCTAAAAATAACGACGAAATCAATCTTCCATGTAAATCCTACAAAAAGATTGCCTTGTCTCTCCATTGATATGAAAATCATGCACATAGAAAGGCCTTGAAAAGCTCTTCAAAAAAGAGAGAGCCAGATGCAATTCAATGAAATATGCAGTCCCTCACACCACCACAAAATTTTCCATTGCATCGCATCCTTCAGCAGAAAAGGTCTGATTTAAGCATTTTTTTAGTGAAATATAGTTAATTATGTGTTATAGAAAGGACACAAGTGCTGATTGTAGAGGAAAAAAAGTTGAACTGATGAAGAGGCAACTTTTTTTTTCTGTTATTATTATCCAAATAGTTGGTGAGGACATCTTCCTAATTGAATGTATGCATAAATTGGTTGAAATATTAATATTAGTCAGACGCACGCGTCTTATTATTATTATGAAGTTGTAAAACAATATGGGCATTTATCATCATTAGAAAAAAAAAATCAAATACTGTATACTATAGAGAATTGTAAATTTTATTAATTTGCTAATTTTGATAATTATTAATTTTCTTGCCATTTCCTTGCAAAACAGTCGTTCATAAATTATTGATTAGGTCGATTACAAAGTCGCATTTCCAACTTTTCCACAAATGTATAAAGGTCAATCTCATCTGACCGTGTTAAACCTGACATTTTTGAATTTTTAAAATTAACAAAAAGTAAACAAAATCTGTAGAAAATTTAAAAACATGAAATTTTATATATACAATAAAGTTTTTATCTAATACTAAGTATAAACAATTTCTATTTATTATTAAAAAAAGGAAACCACAATAATCGGTAGTAAAAAGAAGCACTAAAATTTTACAACAACAAAATAATAATCACAATAAAAGATAAAACAAGGTCATCATCCATTTAATGAGATGCTTATAATATTTTCCAAGAAATTATTATTGTGATTTTTTTCATTTTGTCCATCATTATTGATTCTTTCATTTCGGCCATCGAATTTTGCGTCTCCTCGATTATTCCATCTTTTGATTTTCATTCAATGATAGCCCTTTACCCATTTGACTTTCACCCATTATAAAATCTATATAGTTACGCAGTTCATATTGAGTTGATGTTATTGAAGTAGCCAGAAAGTTATAAGGTACTGGTTCCTCCTTTGTAAAGAAGGAAATATTTCTTGTTAAAGAGAGAACCAGTATAAATATGCATGCTTTGGCAAAAGAATAAAAGAATAAAATAAAATACCTCGCTGATAATCAATGGACGATGCCTTTCTTCTTGACAGACAATATATTCATGTGATGTTAAATTCATACCATCACGTAATGAAGTTATGAGACATGCATCAGCAGCTGTAAGAAGTGCAAGGTATTGGCTATAAGTGATATCTTTATGAAGATATACAACTGGCTGATAGGCTAAATTACTGAATTTTGAATTTATTCGAGAGACTACATCGGAAACTTGGCTTTGTAATTCATTTTGTTCAGTAGTGGAAGTTGCTACTTGAATCAGGACAGCCTGTAATTAATATGACGAATATATATATATAATTGTTTAAATAAATATTACAATAACATTTTTATATAAGATTTTTTAATTTATATTAATTAAACTACCTTTTCTTGCCATTCGGTATGTATTGTAAGAAATCTTTCAAAAGCTAGCATCTTTTGTCGAACACCTTTAACATAATCAAGTTTATCACGAGCAACAACCAATTTTTTACCATGGTATTTTTCTTTAAGAACTTTACACCATTCAATAACTTCAGAGTTTTTTCTGATTACACAAATACAAAAAAAATCATTATTATTCATTATTTTTTTTTTTATAAAATTATAAATGACTTTTTTTTTTGTCTCAACAAACCTTTTTTCATTTAAACTTTCTACATCAACCCCTATAAAATAATTATTTTTTAAGTTATTCTATTCCCATTATTTCAGGAATATATGTATACATACCTATAGGGAAAAGGCCAATTGATACAAAATTATTTTCAAGTTGAATTCCTCGTGGCGTGGTTTCTAATGACAACAAGTGGGAGCATGTATTTCGAAAATGACGTGAAAAAGATTCTGTCTAAAATAAATAATATATATTATTTTTATGCATACATAATGCACATATATATAATACATGGCTCAATAATATACCTGAAACCCAATAAGATCAGCATCCAGAACACCTTCTAAAATTTCTTTACGTACTTTTCGTAAAATATTTTCAAATGGATTGATTAGTTAGCCATATTTTTAAATTCCCAATTACTGAAATACTAAAATATTATTATTAAGTAACATACCAGGTAAACATTTAAATACTTCAGAACTTGGAAAGGGGATATGAAGAAAGAAACCGATCATTGCATTAGGAAGTCTTTTACGAACCATTGCAGGAACCAATAATAAATGATAATCATTTACCCAAACTATTAACAAATATGATTAATAAATAGCCAATGAAATAATACATATAGTTCACCTAATCTATCCACTTACTAATATCTCCATGTTCATAAATTTCAACAATTGAATCTGCAAATTTTTGATTAAGAGCAACATAATGTTTCCAAGAATTATCTTGTTCATCCAATCCTTTACTTTTTGGATTATCTGGTAACACATAATGAAAAGTGGGCCAAAGAACCTATATAATTAAGAATGAATACATGCATGCACACATATATATATAAATCCGATTTATCTTTTTTTTGAAACATACTTGTTTACAAAATTGATTATAATGTCCTTCAAATTCATGATCTTCAACTAACACAAGAACTGAATCATGTTCTTGCAGTAATTTCTGCTTAATTTCTTCACGTGTTCGCACAGTGAGAGCATCAGTTGGCATACCCAATGTACCAACCCAAATACGTTTTACCAAATTATTTTCAATCGTTTTTATAGCATTTTGCAAACCAATGTTTCCTTGTGGACCTGGCTCAAAAGTCCAAGGAGCCTCAGCAAATATTCGACTATTACTAAGTGACCGACGTCTTCTGGGCTTAAGGACGGAAAAATCCCTTTGATCTTGTTGATTTTTACTTCCCGAGTCTTGACGTTGAGCCCGACTACGAGGTTGAGTCAAAGGAGGTCTAGGAGGTTTTTGAGCTAAAGGATTTAGTTGATCAGATTTTGGAGAAAAAAGTTTGTCTATTGGATCTTCTTCACGTGGAGTAGGAGTTGGTGGCAGGTTAAGATGTTTGGCAGCCAAACCTTCAATGAGGTTAGGTTTTGGAACAATAAGGTTTAAATCAACAGGTTTTGACAATTTGTCATTTGCAACCTGAAATGATACGGTTTGAGGAAGAAAAAGCGTAACGACCACTACTCTATGAATTGTGACTGGTGCCATTTCATATAATTCTGATGATACTTTTCTCGATTGATTTTGATTTTTAAAATTGGCTCAAGATTGTACCACCAACATAAATATTCGATCAACATGAATGGGATAGTATAATAATGCTTAGTGATGTCATATCATTAAATAATATACGAATTAATATTAAGCTTGTTTTTTCAAATTACATGAATTTCACGGATTCGGCAATGATCATTTACTTTTTTTTTACTATTATAATTATTAAGGTAAAGCTTGATACAAATAATATAAATAATATATATTAAAAATTAACAAGATGTTGAATATCACGAGCGGATTAATGTTGTATCCGTTACTAAACAATTTTATACAGATGTAACATTCCAATCAAATAAGACTAAGCTTATAATTATTATCATTGGGACGCACCCACCAGTAAAACAAACCTTCTAATTTTGAAAATGGTCGTGTGATGAATGTAACGTAGCACAGTTCCAGCAGTTTTCTCAACCAGCATAACGGGTTAAAATACTAATTTAGTAATGATCTTTTTGACTTGGCTAAATGGTTTAGTTAGCCAAGTGTTCATTTGAGTTACGCAATCAGCCCTGTTTTAAACACTGGTTTATGAATTTTTTAGTTGGTTATATTTTGATGGAGGATCAATTTGTGTAGTTGGAGTTTTATTAAAATCAATTACTGGAATTAGAAAAGCATTTGTTGATTTTTGATTAATTATCGCAATTAATTATTTTTTTTCAATTTCATGTTTCCCAAGGAATTGTTTTAAAAACGAGTATTCAATTACTCAAAACGTTAGAAAATTTGTTACCTATATTTGAACAAAATTATTGTTAAAGATTAAAGAGTTATTGCCAACTTAATATAAAAAGCGTTTAGCCGAATAGTAATAGTAAATTTCGAAAATTTTACGATAACCATCTATGCTAATTTCCGGATCTTTAAAAAATTATCAGCCAATCAAAAATTCTGGCGTTACTATAACAAACACCTTTTCAATTGAATAGCTGGGATTTTTGGTGAAATAAAACATTTTGTAATATTACTATGATTATATTGAGTTTTATTGGCAAGAAAGAATTAAGATTATAAGATTATATATATATATGTATGTATGAATGAAAAATAAATTAAATTTAAAAATTCTATATTTAAAAAAATGTCCAAATTATTAATAATAATAATAATAACTAACAGATTTCTAAGCGTAATAATAAAATAAATATAAATAAATAATGTTCTATCAAAATGGTTTATACAAAGATTAAAATTATATTATGCATGATTTAGAGGTTCATGATTCATGCCTATGAAATGAACTGCATCATCATTTCCATATTCATTTTCAATGATGATAGATGAATTTGAAATCTCCAACAATTGATTTGCTGCTGAATTCATATTATAATCTTTAGCATAATATACTTCTTCACAAAGCTCCGGCTCTAAATCACTAAAAATTGATTTAAGTAGCTTTAAAGATTCTTTCATTTCTTTTTCTGTTGAACGTGCAATAAGTTCGTCTACTAAATTATTATCCTCTTCTTCTAGTTCCCGTTGCCGTTTTAATTTTAGCTGTTGCATTAATTGTTCTTGTTGTAGATGTATATAATTGTTAGTGTTAGTGTCATTTTGTGGTGGTGACGATGATGATAATGAAGATGATGATTCGTCTATTAATGAAGATATTTCTATTTGTTGTAAATTAGTTTCCTCGTCATCATTGTCTAGTAGGGAGTTTTTTTTTTCTCCTGAATCATCAGATTTCTCAATAGAATTAACATCATCATTGTTACTACTATTACTACTACCATTATTGTCATTAACAATAGTGCCATCATTATTATTATCTACTCCAGTGTTAATCTCTGAAAATAATTTTCCTACCATATTTATAGGCGTTTGGATGGTTCTCTGAGCATAATAACTCCCCTTCTCGAATAATGCTTTTGCTTGTGCTGGATTTAGTAATTGTGCTGGATTTATTAATGAAAGTCTATTGTTGTTATTATTGGCAACGATAGGCTTGGATGGATTTATAGCATTATCATAACTTATTTCTTTGGTGTTTTCTGGTAATTTTGGTGTTTCTTCTGCGAGTTCTTTCACTGTTAATTCAATATTACTAATTTGTCATATAATCGTTATAATAATATTAAAAATTATTATTTTTGTCATGCTAAATTATATGAAAATTATAAATCAACATCATTTACCTATCAAATTCATCTTGTGTTATGGTTAATGAATTAACGTCCATATTTTCAATAAAAGCGACTGCACTCATCTAATAAAAAGTAATTAATATATATATGAAAAATCGCATACACACATATATAAGAATATGAATATGAGACATTTAATCTTACTTACTAAACTAGATAAATAATAACCAGCTTCTGATTGTAATTTCTCTGGATTTCTGAATCTATAAATATATCTAATATATAATAATTATTTATCTTTGTTAATATATTTTCTATTATAGTGACATAATAATAATAATAATAGTTTCAACTTACTGAACATTTGACATTAAGTGTTCTGGGTTTGCTTTTAATATTACAAAAATAAGTATCGGTAAAAATTTATCCGCACCTTCTTCACCATCCACAAACTTTATTAATCCTGTTATTACATAAGTTAATTTAATCTGTTTACATGTTGTAACAAATTCAAATAGTGTTTCACTTACCATATATTACTTTACAGCAATTGAGTATACATATTAGTTTATCTCTTGGTGCTATAAATTGACGCATCTTTAATAATTCTAATAATTAATCAATTAAATAATTTGATTAAATAACCTATTAATCGAGATCTAATTCCATAATAAGTTTATTTTACCATTTTTAGCATGATTTAGAAATATTTCATTATGAGGAGTGATTGGAATGTCTAAATGTTTTTCGCCCACCCATCTAAATATTTGAATTTTTTGATGTAAAATTTCATCTCTTTCCAAATCATCTGTCACAGCTTGCCCTTTAATAGCTGGTGTAAATATTCTATATAATAATTTATAATAGCGATAGTGTTATTAATAATAATACTATCATAATTTTATTAATATCTGATCTTACAATTTATATAATCTCATCATCAATAATTTTTCCATTCCTTCTTTTGCATTCTCAAATTCTTTTTCAGATACATCTTTCCATATTTCACATTCATGCATTTTTCTATTTATAAACTATAGTATTATTATTATTATTATTATTAAAAAAAAAATTAAAATGTAAATTCATTTATAAATAAATTCACCAATAAAATAAATTCAAATAATTATGTTGAATAACGTACATCTAGGAAATCGCGTACAAATTTGATTTGTTCATTTATTGTTCGAGGATGTCTTTCAAATTCAATTTCGAAACTAATCAAGTAGTCAAATAAATTTATATAAATATAAATATATATAATAATAATACATGTAGTAACATTATTAATTAATAAATAAATACTTTTTCACATATTTGGTTATTTTTAAAGCACTTTGATGCCTTATTTGTTCTTGAAATTGTTTAAAATTAAATGGTATTTCTTCTTGATCTAAATTAATCCTGCCAGACGCATTATTATCACCGTTTTCTACTTCTCCTTTGTCAATTTT